GGAAGTGGCGAGAAGCCGCAGCCGTTCTAGAGTTACAGCGGCTCAGCTGCTGACTCACCGTTCCGTGGTTCGATTCCCGAAAATCCGAACAAAGACCCGGCCCAGCCCGAGGCCACGGCGTCACAGAGCCGAGCCTGCTGGGAATCACACCGACACACACCGTAACTGGACACCAGCGTGTGGGAAACGGCCTCTTTGTTGTTGCCATTCACGGCCAACAGGGTGTGCATTCACACAGATGTGTCTGACGTCACGTCGGCCATTGTTGTCGGACGAGGAAGAACCGTGCGACTGAACGACGACACACGGAAACAACCAGAAACAACAACACCGGGTGGAACACTGAACACTACAGTGAGGGAACGTGGTCCTGTTCATAACAGCAGTACCACTGCCTACCACTAGGGACGTAACGATGCATGTCCCTAGTGGTGACCGTGTGTAAAACACGTTCATATTCTGCTCTTTATAATAAAAACAGCTTCAGACGAAGGAAACCTGGGTGTCAAACCCGTGGCCTGTGGCACGAAAGTAGACGCCCAACAAATGTGGTGTAGATGTCCAGTGGGTCACGGGGGGGGTCATGTGACCCCCCCCCACATGTCTTCCTCTAGATCAAAGGCAGTCCGCGGTCCAATCAGGATTCTTATGTAACGTCGGAGGAGCAGCTGCGGCGGCGTCTTCAAAGTTAGCACGCTGCTAATGGACCGACAGGAAGAGACGGTAACTTTAGCTCGACCTCAGTGACCTTCACACCGTGCGGAGAGTTTTGTTTTTAATTCAGGAGAAAATTTAAATACATTTTTTTTTTAATTCACTTTTCTGAGGAAGTTCAGTTTCTTTCTCATTGGTTCGTCAACAAATCTCCTCCCGAGAAACACTTTAATGCTAAGATGCTAATTTAGTTTCCGTTGTGTGTAAATAAATATCATGAAAAGTGAACGTCACTGATGAAGATCAAAGGTTTGTTCTGACGCCACCTGCTGGTAACAGTTACTAACGTCTACAGACAGTTTCACCACAGATGTGACGTCATCGTTGACTGTAAACAAACATCGTCACCGTGTTGACTCCACAGGT